GAGTCCGTCTCGTCATGACGACTAGTTTGTGGGGCATCTTGCTTTGAATTCGATGCACCACTTGCTAGTTGACAATATGCATTCACCATCCGTTTTTGAGGACACTCCGCCACCCGATGAGGTCCTTCGCATAAAAAGCACATCAACTTAGGAGCGGCATCAGATCTGCCCTCCATTGCCTTTCCTTTATTCCAGTTGTTGCTGTTGCTACTGTTGTAGTTCCCTTTGAAGTTACTCTGACGGGTGCCTTGATAGGCTCCTCCCTTGTTCTGAGAGTAACGCTCTCCCCCACTTGGGTTCGAGCTAGTTCTGTAAGGTCTGTTTCCACCTCCAACAGATTGACTATTTCCCGAAGGTCGATCTTTCCTCGATTCTGGATGATAGTCACTTAGACATTCAGCAGCTCCCATAGCTGCACTCAAATCAGTAACCCTCTGCCTTTGAAGCTCCGTGCGTGTCCACGGTTTCAACCCTTCTATGAAAGTGAAGAGCTTGTCCTTCTCCGACATATCTCGGATATTCAGCATATGTCCTGAAAAGGCTTTCACATACTCTCGGATGGAACTTGTATGTTTCAGTTCTCGTAGTGCCCGTCGTGCCTCATATTCCACATTTTCCGGGAAAAACTGAGATCTGATAGCTTCTTTGAGAAGATCCCATGAATCTATTCGGACCCTGTTGGCCTGAATATCAGCATACTTTGTTCGCCACCATAGTTTTGCATCCCCACCAAGATACATGGTAGCTGTTGTGACCTTTCTCGCTTCGTCTTGAATCGAAGCCGCAAGAAAGTATTGTTCCATATCGAACAAGAAGTTCTCAACTTCTTTAGCATCGCGTGCCCCTCCATAGGTACACGGTTCTGGAATTCTGAGCCTTTGCACATGCTCTGGTGCGGTGGCTTGCCCATTGCCAACCGCGCGTTGAAGCACTAGTAACTGAGCTCTCAAAGCTCCAACCTCGTCCTGCAGATCAGGAATAATAGCAACAGCTCCAGTCATTGCTGTGCAAGCCGTTCGGCTTTCACCCAGTTGGGCGTTTAATTCACGAATCTCCGCCTCTGCCGCCTCGACCCTTTCATCGAGACTATCCGCGGCATAGCACAACCTAGCAGTTGTTACTTCAAGCGCATCCACACGCTGATTCGTATTCTTCTTTTGAACATCTGCCACCTCAGTGACGTTCGAAGAATCTGGATCCATAGCTTTCTTATCGAGGGTCTTGAGCCGCAGCTCTGATACCAACTTTCACGGGTTACCTTTCTTCTTAGCACAGAAAGGGACACCGTGCGGCAGTAGTCTGCTCCGCTAGACTACCTTCCGCCTTCTCTCGGTCCTTTCGGGACGAAAAGAAATTTGATTACAATTCAAAGAAAGCTTACAACATAAAATGGAAATACATTGAACATGACTTGATCATTGATTGCTAGAAAGCTTGAAATTACAATTGATTGAAAGCAGAAAATTACAATGGCTAGTGCAGGGGGCGAACACTAGAAAAGCTTGAAAGATGTTTGAAAGTCATATACCCCCTATAATAGACTTAGCAACAAAAACCCAAATGACACCAGTAGACGTCTTTTGGCCGAGGAATCATACTAAAATTTTCTAATTTACAACTATTTTTACAATTAAATGAAATATTTACAATGTGCTGCCGAAGTTGGGCAAACTGCGGCTGCAATAGGGTCACGGGGCTTAAGTAAAGCTGCAGTCCGTGACATTCTCCCCCACTTGTTTTGGCGACGTCCTCGAAGCCATCAATGAATGATATGCTTCAATCAATGGTTTGAAGGCGCCAAGGTCCTTTTTGCTTTCCCAAGTATTTTCCTCGCTGCTGCATCCTCTCCATTTGACCAAGTACTCTTGATGATATTTTCTAGAAGCCCGAGTAGTTCGGTGGTCAAGAATCTCTTCAGCGACCTTCTTTCCAGCTCTTTTCAGTTCAAACACAGGTCGTTTTGGTTCATTTCTGGATGCATCCTCCTTGTCGGCAAAGTATGGCTTGAGTACGCCAACATGAAGGACTTTGTGGATTTTACACCATGAAGGGAGTGCAACTCTGTATGCAACCTTGCCAACCCTCTTCACGATGGGTAATGGTCCAATATATTTCGGCATCAATCTTGAATCCTTCCCTCTTGTCAGTTTATAGCAGTTTCTGTCAGGGAGTTTCACCATTACCAGATCTCCAACATCAAATTCAACGAAACGGCGCTTAAGATCTGCAGACTTCTTGTACCGTTTCTGAGCTTTCTCAAGATAACTCCGAGCAATTTCAATGTTTCGTTTCCACTCTTGAGAGAAGCTTTTTGCTTGAGGTGACTTGGTACTTTGATCGATGTCCACAGTATGAGGGAGTAGCGGTTGCTGGCCAGTAGCAATCTCAAAAGGACTCTTATTGGTGGAAGAGCTCTTTTGGGCATTGAAACACATCTGAGCCGCATCCAAAAGCTTCACCCAATTTTTCTGTGAAGTAGAGATAAAGTGCCGAAGATATTCTTCCAGCATAGAATTGAAGCGCTCCGTCTGTCCATCAGATTGTGGGTGAAAGCTAGAACTCATGCTCAATGTTGAACCAAGGAGTTTGAACAACTCGGTCCAAAATATGCCGGTGAATCGAGGATCCCGATCACTGACTATGTCTTTAGGCAGTCCCCAGTATTTGACAATATGTTTGAAGAAGAGTTGAGCTGTCTCTTCCGCTGATACATACTTAGGTGCTGCGATGAAAGTTGCATACTTCGATAGACGGTCTACCACGACGATGATGGTGCTAAAATCTCCAACCTTTGGCAAATGAGTAATGTAGTCCATCGATACACTCTCGAATGGTCTAGTTGGGACGGAAAGGGGCTCCAGCAAGCCTGCCTTTTTCTGATGATCTGACTTATCTTGCTGACACACAAGGCAAGTTTTCACATAAGTAGTAATGTTGTCCCGCATCTGAGGCCAGTAGTATGCACGCTGTAGTAGTGCAAAAGTGCGTTCCTCCCCAGGATGCCCTGCCCAGATCGTGTCGTGGCATTCCGTGATTAATGACTTTCTCAAATCTCCACCTTTAGGAACATAAAGGCGGTCTCCTTTAGTCTTTACTAGGCCCTCATCGAGCCAGAACTGACGAGTTTTTCCCTGCTTGATGAGGTCGACCAAATACTGAGTAGCCGGGTCCTTATTCAAAAGTGCCCGAATTTGGTCCCTTGTGCTTGTAGTAACTGTGCTCCCTGAAAGAGCAGCCATAGAGCAAATGGT